AGAGTAAAGATCAAAATGTTAATCTTTAGTTTAGTCTAGGGACATGGTGGATGCTCATTTAAGTATTTTGAAAATATTTTCAATATTTTACTCAGTGCTGGGTCCAGTGCCAGATACTAGAAATATGAAATATGAAGATGAATAAAGCCTAGTCTCTATCTAGTCAGGGAGAGATGTTTGCTGGGAAGATGCTGATGAACTGGTTAAGCCACAAACCTGACATCTCAGGCTTCTTTAAAAATTTTTTAATGTTTATTTATTTTTGAGAGAGAAAGAGAGAGACAGGACACGAGTGGGGGAGGGGCAGAGAGAGATGGAGACACAGAATCCAAAGCAGGCACCAGGCTCTGAGCTGTCAGCACGGAGCCTGATGCAAGGCTTGAACCTATGAACTGCAAGATCATGACCTGAACCCAAGTCAGATGCTTAACTGACTGAGCCACCCAGATGCTTTATAAGGAAGCCTCACTTCATCCCAACCTAGGCAATCCATCAGCCCCTGGTAGTGCTATTTTCCATGAGTGAATCCAAGCCAGAGCATGTGTGTGTGTTCATGTGTGTGTGTGTTTGTGCACGTGCACACGCGCATTTGTGTGTGTGTCTGTGTGTGTATGTCTGTGTGTGTGTGGTTGCTCTAAAAACTTGATCCAGCCAGAAATCACCTCTGGCCACCCAATGGAACTGACTTTGACCACCACCTGTTTTCCAAGGGCTGAGGGCCAGTACTAACCCCAGCTCACTTAGAAGATGTGTGGCACAACTGAGCCTTCACAGTTTGGGGCCTTTTTATTGTTGTTGTTATTCTAGGATGTAGGAGGGAATGTGTGGAAGCTTCTGCCTGTGCCCTGAACTCACCCCAGCACAGTGTGTGGTCCTTGCCCGGACATTTTGGGCTCAGGAGCCCCAAAGCCCTGGCTGGGGTAGAGGCCACAAACTCAACATTACCTGTGGCAATGTTTCAGCCTCCTGTGCTCTGCATATGTTGTACCTCCCCCCTGATTAGAATCCCTTCCTTCCAAATCTAACTATCAATATTTTCCCCATCTTTCAAGACCCAGCTCAAACACATCATCTTCTGGGCAGCATTCCCTAGTGCCTCTGTGGGATTAGCATTCAGATTCCTTTCTCTGTTCCCTGGGCAACAGCAGTGTGTAAATGTAGAGAGGTCAAGAGCATGCCAGTTAGAGGTGATACACAGTGAGAGTGCAGGATGGGGAGAGAGGCTGGGAAGGCGGGTGGGGCCTCTTAGAGCTGACATACCCATGGCTGAAATCTCCCTACAGTGGGGAGCTATTGAGAGTTCTTGACAGAAGGGAAGGCTGCTTGAGGTTGGCAACTGAAGACATTTCTCTTTCCACAGTGAATGGTGGGGTGGGGAAGGTTGGGAGCCTAGAGGCAAGGTGATTAGTTATAGGATACACGTAGAGGGGTTTTGCTGTAGAAAAGAACAGTGTATGTCCGATTTACATAGAGAGATTTGTAAAAATGTGGATTCTGGGCCCCTTTACCCAGAGCTTCTGTTTTGGTGGATCCAGAATGGAGTTAGAACCTGTGCTTTTAGAAAATGTCCCAGGACATTTCAGAAGGGTGGGGGTGGATTCTTCAAGAATGGTATTAGGACAACTGGATACCTGTATTGGAAAAAATTTAGCTTAACCCTTCTTCCTTCCTTATACAAAAATAAATGCCAAATGGAACCAAGATTTGGTTCCTTCTAGGGGTACCTGGGTGGCTCAGTCAATTGAGCATCTGACTTTGGCTCAGATCATGAGCTCACAGTTCATGAGTTTGAGCCTCATGTCAGGCTCACTGCTGTCAGTCTATCAGCACAGAACCTGCTTCAGATCCTCTGTCCTCCTCTCTCTGCCCCTCCCCCATTTGTACGCTCTCTCTCTCTCTCTCTCTCTCAAAGTAAATGAAATGTTAAAAAAAATGTCCTTCTAAAGGAGTTACAATGTTAAGTAAGAAAGTGTTTATGCGAGTCTGAATTGCATGCCATTCCAAGTCTGAAGCCTTCTCAGTTCTCAAAGGTTTGCCCCATGTCTGTACCCACGGTTCCAGCTGCCCCTTCCCACTGCCCCTTGTATTAAGAACCTCAGACCTATCATGAGGTGCAGATCAAGGCAGCAGAGAGCACTGGCCCGGGAGCCTGAGGGTGAGTGTGAGTCTGGACTGGTCATTGCCCAATGTGGCTCAGGTGCCCTCACTGCAGAGGGAAGGGGTGGGCCTTCCACCTCACAGGTCTCACTGACTCCACAGTGTGAACACACCCTAGTTCTTCCCCCCACAGAGGGTCCAGGCAGGAGGGCCCTCTCTGTAAGAGCACCAGGCCCAGCTCACAGGTAGAGTCTGGATGCTGACCTGGGCACATGGTATTGGCCACCTGATGACCCAACAGTCACCTGACTGTCGTCCTCATCCACCCCTCTCCTCCTACCTGGCCTGTGTGCTGCTCCAAACCTCAGCCATTGGGATGCTTCCTCACCTGCCCCTGGAGAGTCTGAGGCTGGGTGAGGGGAGAACTGCGGGACTCAGCAATGTAGTGTCCTCCTTGGCCAACTGACCCCCACTCAGACTCAATCACACACAGGTTCCTTCCATCCATCAGAAGAAGCAAAGCTTACCACTAACTAGTATTTGGGGTGGGGGTGGGGGAACTTTGACATCTTTGCATGAAAGGGTCAATAGAAACAGTAAGTATAGTAATCCCTTTATTGTCCATACATAGAACATACATATTGCCCAAGGGCCTCCACCAGGTGCAACCAGGCCCAGGAGTTCCAGCCAGGAGAATAGTTCTCTCTCTGCACTACAAATTACCTCTGCCATGTCCTACCCTAACTTAGATAAAGTGAGGCCCTGGGTATTGCCGTCATGATGGTCTTTGCAGCCTTAGCTGGACTCCCCATTTCTCCTGTCCAGCAGCCACAGTGGGGTTAGAATGTAAGCTGGGAGACTTCCTTTGCTGTTAAGCCTCTCAACACCTGCAGATACTCTCCAAGCCAGTGCTTTCCTAGAACATGCAGCCATAGACCACTGTGCCCATTGAGTTGCAGAAGCCATAGAGGGCATTTATTCATTGAGGCAGGGGACAAGCCCTGGCCGGCGGTTGGGAGGCACAGGGTGGTCTGACCCTGCCGCCATCCCTGTGCAAATTTAAAGGAAAATCACATCATCCTCCTGGCCTCAACCTCTTCCTATGTCAACTGAGGGATCTGATTAGACACCCAATCCCTAAGAATCCACTAGGAGGCCATAGTGTGACTTTAGCCTCCAGAGCAAAGCTGGAAAGTTTCTACCAGACACCCTGAGATACCATTTGTGTCTGGTTTGGGTTACAAGGTAACTGTTGATTGTAAGCGAACCCTTTGTTCCAGTTTGCCTGGGGCAGCCCTGGTTGGTTCCTGTTGCTTCTTCATAGTTGGTAGTAGTGCCTCTTTCACTCTCAAAAATGCTCCAGTTTGGGTGATATCTTACCTGGCCACCCTACTGACGGTGAGAGAGAAACAAGACTCCTCTGCCTTCCCCACACTCAGCCTGACCTGGAAGGATACCTCCTCCACCTGAGTTAAAGGATGCCTTTGACTTGCTCAAAGAATAGCCTTGACTGAATTGTGACCTTCTGTTGACAAAAGTCAGTCACTGTGTTTGCTGGGATGTCATTTGAAGATGGAGGTGACCTTGTGCACCATTCACTGCCCCTGCCTGAAGTGCCACATGAAAATCTCTTTTCAAGCAAGACTTTGGTTCCAGCAAAGAACTTAGATGTTTCTTCCTCTCTGGCTGTAGGGGCTCTGTGATGGATCACACCTCCCTTTCCTCTTTGGCTGCTGGGAAAAGCTGGAGGAACCTGCCAGTGTGATCCCCCTAGCTATTTCTTGATGGAGTAGTCATGGCCGTGTTAGGCTATGAGCTTGCACAAGCTGGAGTGGTGGTTTTAGCTTCACCATGAAACCCAGGCTTGGATTAGCAAGGGAGATGCAAGCTTGAATGGTGCCCCTCATGGCCACCTTCAGAGCCCAGGCTAGGGTTGGAAATAATGCTAACCTGAGAAAAATCTATCCCTTGGAAAGCTCATCCCTGAATAACACACTGGCATCTCCTCCTGCACTGCAACCTGCTGTCGGACGAGCTCACTTTGTCTAGTAGCATCCATATCTGTTATCATGTTGGACTCCATCATAGCTCTGAGGCACAATTGAGGCAGGACTTGATATTATCCCATTTTATAGATTGGGCAGCTGAGGCTTTGCGAGCTAAACCTGCCTCAGTTCTCAGAGGCCTCCCATCTCCAGCTGCCCTGCAATTCCCAGAATACCACTGGTGGCATTCAAGTCACCCAACACCACTGTGAATGCGGGTGAGGGAGGTTCGGACCATTGCTTGGGTACTTAAGAGTCAGGGGCTGTGACTTCAGGTCAAATCTCCTTGGTTAACCTTTTAAGGATATCAGCACATCTCACAGAGTCCAGCTGCACAGGCTGTGGATAAGTTGCAGTAACTCTCTCTTCTCTTGTGTGTGTATTTCTGTGTGTGTGCTTTCGTCAAACAGAAGAGCGTGAATTCCCCTCTGCGGCCGCTGATCTCCAACACGGGACCAAAGGGGAGCAGGGGCCAGACAGAGCTGCCCGAGGCACCCAGCGTGGCTTCTCTAGTGTGGGGACCAGGGATGATCGTGCCGTGCACGCAGATGTCTCCAGCCTCCAACCGTTCATATAGCACACAGGGGACTTGTGGGTGGCCACTTGCCACTGCCAACTGAAACAATAGGATGGCAATGTTGACATCCTTCATGACGTTTCCACGACAGACATTCAGGCAGAAAGTGCTGGCGCATTTTCTGTCTTCAAAGTAGAGGGCCATGCCTCACCAGTGTGAATAGTTTGGGCCCCGATGACCTGCTGTGAGTCTACTCGCAGCCAGTGACACTTGCAAAAAAAAAAAAAAAAAAAAAAAAAAACTCCCAAAGTCCATCTTGGGTTTGGCTTCTGCAGCTCTTGACCAATGTGGCCAAAGCCAGAGGCCTCCTTGGGAAACTTGGATTATTCATAAATGCAGCCTGCCCCAGCCCTCCCTGAATAGCATCCGAAGTCTCTGTGGAGGTCATGGATCCTGAACAAAGTGTCAAGGGCACCAAGAAGGCTGAGGGAAGTCCCCGGAAGCGGCTGACCAAAGGAGAGGCCGTGCAGGCCAGTGTTTCGTCCGGCGCCCCTTACCCAGGCAGCAGCACAGCTGCCCCCCCAGAGGGCCCCCTCCAAGAGCTCCTAGCCCCGCAGCCCTTCCCAGGCCCCTCACCAGTTCTTAGGGAAGGCTCTCAGGAGAAACCAGGCCCTAAAAGGTCCTCCATTGACACCTCTGTCCCCATCTCGAAGCTTCCACAGCACCCTCTGACACCAGCATTCATGTCGCCCGGCAAACCGGAGCATCTCCTGGAGGGGTCCACGTGGCAGCTGGTCGACCCCATGAGACCTGGACCCTCTAGCTCCTTCGTGGCCCCTGGGCTCCATCCTCCAAGCCAGCTCCTCCCTTCCCACGCTTCCATCATCCCCCCCGAGGACCTGCCTGGCATCCCCAAAGTCTTTGTGCCCCGTCCATCCCAGGTCACCTTGAAGCCCCCAGAAGAGGCGCCCAAGAAGGAGAGGAAACCGCAGAAGCCTGGCAAGTACATATGCCAGTACTGTAGCCGGCCCTGCGCCAAGCCCAGTGTGCTCCAGAAACACATCCGCTCACACACGGGTGAGAGGCCCTACCCCTGCGGCCCCTGCGGCTTCTCCTTCAAGACCAAGAGTAACCTGTACAAGCACAGGAAGTCCCACGCCCACCGCATCAAAGCCGGCCTGGCCTCCGGAGTGGGCGGTGAGATGTATCCCCCAGGGCTGGAGATGGAAAGGATCCCGGGGGAGGAGTTTGAGGAGCCCACCGAGGGGGAAAGCACAGACTCAGAAGAGGAAACAGGCACCGCGTCTGCCCACCCCGCAGAGCTCTCCCCCAGGCCCAAGCACCCTCTCCTGTCCAGTGGCTTGTATAGCTCCGGGAGCCAGGGCTCCAGCCATGACCGATGTTCCTTGTCCCAGTCCAGCTCAGCCCCATCGCTCGAGGACCCCACTCCGTTCACGGAACCCTCATCCGAACACCCCTTGAGCCAGAAACCCGAAGACACCCACACGATAAAGCAGAAGTTGGCCCTCCGCTTGAGTGAGAGGAAAAAGGTGATGGACGAGCAGGCATTTCTGAGCCCGGGCAGCAAAGGGAGTACAGAGTCTGGGTACTTCTCCCGCTCTGAGAGCGCCGAGCAGCAGGTCAGTCCCCCAAACACCAACGCCAGGTCCTATGCTGAGATCATCTTCGGCAAGTGCGGGCGGATCGGGCAGCGGACCGCCATGCTGACAGCCACGTCCACGCAGCCCCTCCTGCCCCTGTCCACCGAAGACAAGCCCAGCCTGGTGCCTTTGTCTGTGCCCCGGACGCAGGTCATAGAGCACATCACCAAGCTCATCACCATCAATGAGGCTGTGGTGGACACCAGCGAGATAGACAGCGTGAAGCCGAGGAGGAGCTCGCTGTCGAGGCGCAGCAGCATGGAGTCCCCCAAATCCAGCCTCTACCGGGAGCCCCTGTCGTCCCACAGCGAGAAAACAACGAAGCCTGAACAATCACTGTTGAGCCTCCAGCACCCACCCAGCACCACCCCCCCTGTGCCTCTGCTGAGAAGCCACTCAATGCCTTCCGCCACCTGCACCCTCAGTACCCCCCATCACACCTTCCGAGGTAGCTACTCCTTCGACGACCACATCACCGACTCCGAAGCCCTGAGCCGCAGCAGTCAAGTGTTTACCTCCCACCCCCGGATGCTCAAGCGCCAGCCAGCCATCGAACTACCTTTGGGAGGGGAGTACAGTTCCGAGGAGGCAGGGCCCAGCAGCAAAGATACAGCCTCCAAACCCGCAGATGAGCCAGAACCCAAGGAAAGTGAACTCACCAAAAAGACCAAGAAGGGTTTGAAAACGAAAGGGGTGATCTATGAATGTAACATATGCGGTGCTCGGTACAAGAAAAGGGACAATTACGATGCCCATAGAAAGTACTACTGCTCGGAGCTTCAGATCACAAAGCCCATCTCTGCAGGTGCTCATGTGTCCCCAGAAGCTGAGAAGAGTCAGGCTGAGCATGAGCCCTGGTCCCAGATGATGCATTACAAACTGGGGACCACCTTGGAGCTCACTCCATTGAGGAAGAGGAGGAAAGAGAAGAGCCTCGGGGATGAGGAAGAGCCACCTGCCTTTGAGTCGGCTAAAAGTCAGTTTGGCAGCCCCGGACCGTCTGATGCTGCTCGGAACCTTCCTCTGGAGTCCACCAAGTCACCAGCAGAACTGAGTAAGTCAGTGCCCTCCCTGGAGGGACCCACAGGCTTCCAGCCAAGGACTCCCAAGCCAGGGTCTGGTCTAGAGTCAGGGAAGGAGAGGAGAACAACGTCCAAAGAAATTTCCGTCATCCAACACACCAGCTCCTTCGAGAAGTCCGACTCTCTGGAGCAGCCCAGCGGCCTGGAAGGGGAAGACAAGCCCCCGGCCCCGTTCTCCTCACCCCCGCCCGCCCCACATGGACGCTCTGCCCACTCCCTGCAGCCCAGGCTGGTCCGCCAGCCCAACATCCAGGTCCCAGAGATCCTGGTGACGGAGGAGCCCGACCGGCCAGAGACGGAGCCCGAGCCACCTCCAAAGGAACCCGAGAAGACAGAGGAATTCCAGTGGCCCCAGCGCAGCCAGACGCTTGCCCAACTGCCGGCCGAGAAGCTGCCACCTAAGAAGAAGAGGCTGCGCCTGGCAGAGATGGCCCAGTCATCGGGGGAGTCCAGCTTCGAGTCCTCCGCTCCCCTGTCTCGCAGCCCCAGCCAGGAGAGCGGTGTCTCTCTGAGCGGGTCCAGCCGCTCCGCCTCCTTCGAGAGGGATGACCACGGGAAAGCCGAGGCCCCTGGGCTCTCGTCCGACATGCGCCCCAAACCCTTGGGCACCCACATGCTGACCGTCCCCAGCCACCACCCGCACGCCCGAGAGATGCGGAGGTCAGCCTCAGAGCAGAGCCCCAACATTTCCCATTCTGCCCACATGACTGAGACACGCAGCAAATCATTCGACTATGGCAGCTTGTCCTTGACTGGCTCTTCTGCGCCGGCCCCAGTGGCCCCGGCAGCCCCGGCAGCCCCCACAGCCCCACCAGAGAGAAGGAAATGCTTTTTGGTGAGACAGGCCTCTCTGAGCAGGCCTCCGGAAGCCGAGCCAGAGGCTGCCCCCAAGACAGGAAGACAGGAGAGTGAGGAGTCAAAGCCCTCATGCAGTAAGCCTTCCGCCAAAAGCTCATTGCCCCAGATTTCCTCCACGGCCACTTCGCATAGCGGGCACCCAGGAGGCAAGAGCCAGGTGCAGGACAGACCCCAGCTGGGGTCCACCCCGCCCTACACAGAAGCACTCCAGGTGTTCCACCACCCCATTGCCCAGCTCCCCCTGCACGAGAAACCCTACCTGCCACCACCCGTCTCCCTCTTCTCCTTCCAGCCCCTCTTGCAGCATGAGCCGGGACAGTCTTCAGAATTCTTCTCCACCCAGGCCATGTCCGGCCTCCTCTCTGCCCCGTACTCCATGCCGCCGCTTCCTCCCTCCCTATTTCAAGCCCCGCCACTTCCCCTCCAGCCTACTGTTCTGCACCCAGGCCAGCTCCACCTCCCTCAGCTCATGCCTCATCCAGCCAGCCTCCCCTTCCGGCAGCCCCCTTCGTTTCTCCCTGTGCCATACCCCACCTCGTCAGCACTCTCTTCTGGATTTTTCCTGCCTCTGCAATCCCAGTTCTCGCTTCCGCTCCCTGGTGATGTGGAAAGCCATCTGCCCCAGATCAAAACCAGCCTGGCCCCGCTGGCAACAGGAACCGCTGGCCTCTCCCCCAGCACAGAGTACAGCAGTGATGTCCAGCTGTCCCCCGTGGCTCCCCCGGCCAGCTGCTCGGCACCCACATCAGCCCCTCCACTGACTCTGCCTGCCTGTCCGGACACCATGGTATCCCTGGTTGTGCCCGTCCGCATTCAGACCAACATGCCGTCCTATGGGAGCGCCATGTACACCACCCTGTCCCAGATCTTGGTCACCCAGTCCCAAAGCAGCTCAACAACTGTGACTCTTCCCAAATTTGAGGAGCCCCCATGCAAAGGGACAACTGTGTGTGGGACGGATGTGTACGAGGTCCGGCCTGGGTCGGCTGGGGTGAGTGAAGAGCAGACCAGAGGTTTCCCGACTCCATACTTGAGAGTGCCTGTGACATTACCTGAAAGAAAAGGCACTTCCCTGTCATCAGAGAGTGTCTTGAGCCTGGAGGGGAGTTCTTCAACGGTGGGGGGGAGCAAACGTGTCCTTTCACCAGCTGGCAGCCTTGAACTTACCATGGAAACCCAGCAGCAAAAAAGGGTGAAGGAAGAGGAGGCTTCCAAGGCAGATGAGAAACTTGAGCTGGTAAAACCATGCAGTGTGGTGCTCACCAGCACAGAGGATGGCAAGAGGCCAGAGAAATCCCACTTGGGCAGCCAGGGCCAGGGCAGGAGGGAGCTAGAAACACTGTCCAGCCTGTCCTCAGATCCATCTGACCCAAAGGAAATCAGTCCCCTTCCTCACTCCTCCTTGTCCCATGTGACGGCCCCAGGCTCAGAGGCTTTGAAGGAATATGCCCAGCCATCCGCTAAGCCTCACCGAAGAGGACTTCCCTCACTGAGTGTGAAGAAAGAAGGTTCCAAGGAACAACCTGACCTCGCTCCACTGGCACCTTCAAGCTCGCTGCCTCTGTCAGAAACGTCCTCCAGACCAGCCAAGTCGCAAGAAGGTACGGACTCAAAGAAGGTACTGCAGTTCCCCAGCCTCCACACGACCACTAATGTCAGTTGGTGCTATTTAAACTACATTAAGCCAAATCACATCCAGCATGCAGATAGGAGGTCCTCTGTTTACGCTGGTTGGTGCATAAGTTTGTACAACCCCAACCTTCCGGGGGTTTCCACTAAAGCTGCTTTGTCCCTCCTGAGGTCTAAGCAGAAGGTGAGCAAAGAAACATATACCATGGCCACAGCTCCGCATCCTGAGACAGGAAGGCTTGTGCCATCCAGCTCCCGCAAGCCCCGCATGACAGAGGTAAGTTTGCCTTGTTTTCCTTCTCCTCGCTGTATACCTAAACCATGTGTTGAGCTTTTAAAGCCACATTCTCCTCAAGGTCTGGTAGCATAACTAGAGCAAAACGAGCGGGCAGATTTCCTCTCTGTCAGCTGTGACTGAACACTATATAAGAAAACGTACTTATTGGGTTTCTTTATCGTTGTGTCCCTCATCGTCAGAGTAGATACATTTCAATAAAATAAGCTTTAAAGTGATCCTGCTTTCCCGTTAGCTTCTTATGTAAAATCAAAGACACCATCTGAGCCAGGACAAAATATAAATTCTCCAAAAGACTGAATTGGAAAACTTGGCTGATGGGAAAGTCTGCAGCAATTTCAAAACTTTATGCCACTCCCCATGTTCCTCCCTTGTCCTGTTAGTCTTTTCCTGCTTTTCTTCTTCTCTACACCTGCTATTTCCAGTCTCTGGTTACCACTCCAAATCTTCCCACTCCCAGAGTTTTTAGAATTTGGCACAAACAGCTCCTGAAATATTTCTTCTTTCTTTTCCACTAGCAGGAGAGCAAACTCAGCTTGGCTGTAGTGTTCCTCCTCACCAATAGGTGGCAAGACCACTCACAGCCTGACCCAACTGTGTCATGTAGTAGCGCCTGGCCCTGACTAAGGGTTCACATTTACTCCTCCATGCCTTGCCTCTGATCTGAGGCTGCTCCATATCAGAGCTGCTCCAAGAGCCATAGAGTGACCCCCTGCAAGTTCAGGAAATTTGAAATTTGATAATTCCAACTTTGCTTCAGATACACAGACAGCTCCATACCCTGATAAGACCAGCCTAAGGACCCAGGCCGTGCTATGTATGCTGACTTGGTGTTTGTGGAATAACAGTTGGTCGTTGATTGAGTCACCTCAGTGTGCCAGGTGCTGTGCTGGGCCCTTGAATCCAGTGTTTATTTCTACCTATGAGACAGGAGGACCATCTCCATTCTATAGATGAGGGACCCAGGGGTCAGAGGGTGAGAGAAGTCAAGGCCATATGGTAGATATTTGGCAAACCCAGAATTTGAACTTAGACCTGACTCCAAAGAACCCATTTTTCTTCTTCCAAATATTTGAGAAAAGAAAAACAGAAAAGTGACTGCAAATTTTAAAATCTTCATCAGTGTGTCTTCAGACCAGACACTGATCAAATCCAGCATAAATCCACTAAACTAAATTCATATTACAGATATATGAATAAAACTGTGTTCTGAAACTTCTCCTATATTTGTGTCCTTCTCTTTTATCATTGAGTGAAATCTGTGCACTGAATTTGTCCTTACTCCGCTGGATACTCTTCACGGGATTGCTTCCCGGATTTATCCTCTGAGTGTCCTGTCAGTATACAGACATCCCTAGATGAGATGTCCACTTTTGCCATAAACACCATGACTGATTTGCTCTCCAGTGTATCTTACCAGCTACAGCTACTCCCAAGATGGTGTTATACTTATGTTCCCTCTTACAACTTTCTGTCTACCTGCTGCGGGCAAGGAGTATGCTAAACTTTACTTCCATCCTCACAACCACCTTGAAATTTAGAGTACTATATCACCATTTTATGGATGAAGGCCAATGCACAGAGAAGTTAAGTAACCTGTACAGGGCTGCACAGGACATGCCAGAGCCTGGATTCAAAACTAGACCTCACTCCAGAGCCCTTTCAAATGATCTGGACTGCCTGTCTGCTTTGATGACTATACACTAAAAGTCCATTTAAGAAAAAGTAAGAGTTAATTTAGCTTAATTGGGTTCAGCAAACTTTTGCTTAAAATGCTGCTTTCATAAAATGAACTGAAACCTGCAAACTTTTTCTTGGAATAATTCAGTAGAGTCACTGGCAGGTTTCCTACCGGAAGTGCACCAATCTGGTGCATTAGTATTAACTGTATGGCCCACTGCCTTTCTACAATTACACCTCTCTCTCTGGCCACTGCTTGAATATCTCCAGTGATGGGAAGCTCTCACCACCTCTTGATGCAACTCAACTCATCTTTGGACAGTGCTCCAAGAAAGTTCTTTACTGTACTGAGCTAATGCTTGTCATCTTGTAGCTTCTGTTCTGTTAGTGGCTCTGAAAAAGCCCTTCAGGCTATCTAAGCATTTTAAAGATCTTCCAAACTGTCTTCATATATGTCTAGGCCACCCTATCAGATTTGAGTTTGGTCATAGATTTTCTGTACATAAGCCCTGGAGAAACTCAAGCTTCGCAAAAGTTCACTTTGCAGCCATATTCCATTCACTCCCCAGGTTTCTCCTGCTTTTTTCTCCTTGGGGGTCATTTTGAAAACCACATATTGCAAACAGATTAGGAGCAAGGATTCCAGTGCCAGGTTTCCCAGATTTGAATCCCACTGCCTCATGTGGTAGCTGTGCGACCTTGTGCCAGCTACCTATTCTCTCTGTGCCTTGGTTTCCTCATCTGTAAACTAGAGATATTAAAAATACTTAGCTAGGGGCACCTGGGTGGCTCAATCGGTTAAGCGTCCGACTTTGGCTCAGGTCATGATCTCATGGTTTGTGGGTTCAAGCCCCGCATCGGGCTGTGTGCTGACACCTAGCTCAGAGCCTGGAGCCTTCTTCAGATTCTGTATCTCCCCCTCTCTCTGACCCTCCCCTGCTCATGCTGCCTCTCTCTCTCTCTCAGAAATAAATAAAACATTAAAAAATTTAAAAAAAATACTTAGCTCATAGGACTGTGGAAATAAATAAGTGGGTTAAAATACACAAAGTGTGTTTAGAACAGTACTTGGCACATTGGCACTCAATAATCATTTTTATGATTTAAAGACAATTCTATTATTGTCTTTAAAAGCCAACATAGATTCCTGGCCCCCATGCTAAGTCCAGCAGTGTTCCCTGACACTGGCTTATTGCCACCCAAACCAGTCTCCTCCAACTTAGCCCAGACATCACAGCTGGTTGTGAGAGAGAAGTCATCCATTGGCCTGTGGGAGGCCCCTTGCTCATTCTGTGGATGTCCCAGATGGCAGGCCCAGATAAGAGTGAAAACAGCATGCTCTGGGAATTCATGGGTATTGCACGAAGTCAGCTCCCTTCTGCCAAAGTGGCAGTCCATAGCCTCACTTGGTTTCCACTCCCCATTTCCAATTCTGAAGAGACTGTTTGAGTGGATTCACTGAGTCATAGGCATTGGCCCTGATGTGGATCTTCAAAATGATCTAAATCCCCTCAGAGGTGCACTAAACCCAGAAAGATGAAGTAATCCACCCAAGAGTGGCTCAGCACACAGTAGCCTCTGTGGTGCCAAAACTCAGATTCCCTGATGGCCAACCAGCTACCTTTCTGCTCAGCCCAACCCACCTTTTTAGCAACAAGTGTCATGGCTGCCACAGGAGCCTGGGGTTTAGATTGCTCCGGCACTGAGAGACATGGTGGCTTCTCTCACTGGCTGTAAACCTGAACTTGATTGACAGCAGCATAAACTAGGGTGAGAATCTCACTCCTGGCACTGCGGGCCCCAGCCCCCAGCCCAGCATCACTTCTCCCTATTCAAGGGTATGCCCACCCACTACTGCCATCAGAGGGTCTAGAGGACCTGTTATTCTCATGAGCCAGCTCTCACCACTGAGGCCTACAGCTCTGTGAAGAGATTGGGTTTCCTCAGACCACCAGCCAGAGCCTGTATACCCCCTTCCAGGTGCATGCCTATCAGTGAGCATGGTCAAGGCCCTCAGGAAACTTAAACTCTGCTCCCAGCAATGTCCTTAACTTGAAAGGTTGATTTTCTGATCTATAATAGACAACTGGTCCAGTTAATCTCCAGGATGGAGTCTTCATTTATTTGCTCAACATTCCTTACCCATCTTCTCTAAGGCAGGCCCTGTTTTGGGTGCTGGCATGACCGAAGACACCAAGATAAGGACCTATGACCAGAAGGTCCTAGACTAATGTGAAAGGAAAAGCAAACACAGCTCTTGTAGGAAAGCCTGGTCTTCCCAGGAAAAAGGACCTGGTCGGAGTCCCAGTTTTGACACCAGCTAACCACATGACTTGAAGAAGGGGCTTCACCTCTCTGGGGATCAATTTCCTTCTTTCTGTACACTGGAGCTACTAGCACATCTGCACAGGGTAGAGGGAAGAGTAAGTGAGCCCCACACAATTAAGAGTAAGCCATCAAAGGCACCGTTCTATCACTACTGTGTAACTGCAGTGATTTTGTCATTCTGCGGTGGGCCAGGTTCACCTCCCTTCGCTGGTTTCCCCGGAAGGCCAGAAAGATCTACCTAGAGTGCAGAAGTCAGAAGAGAAGCGAGGGAAGCCGGAGGAAGACGCTCCTGCCTGCAAGAGAGGGGAGCCAGCGAGGATCAAAATCTTCGAAGGAGGGTAAGAATCATGTATGCTTTGCAATATTTCATTCTGCTTCCTTGGAGTAAGAGATGGTACCATCCGTATTGAGAGGCCGTGATCATCTCTCTCGGCTGGGCTGTGCTCACAGGTGCTTGCCAGCAGATGCCAACGTTCGTGGGACTGACTCGAAGGCCACCTCTGCTTCAGAATGCCAGGCTCTCTGGTGGGGGATGGGAATGGGGTGTCTGCTGAGGACTGGAGCAGTCTGGGTCTTTCTCCGGCCCCTTCTTTCTTCAGATGCTGGCCTGGTTTCCAGTCCCTGCATTGGGGCTGATAGTGCGTCTGCCAGGTCCTGTCTGGACTGCTGCTTACCTTGGTGCATGTTCCCCCCCAAATCACCTCTGTTCTGCACAAGCAGCCACCTTGGCATGCCTGGTGTCCCACAGGGGACTCGGGCTCTGCCCACAGGCTGTTTGCAGGGCTGATAATGAAGGCACTGCTTACACAGCTGTCTACACCCATCTCCATTCTGACTGGTCGGGGTCCGCTACTCATTGGTTGGTCAAGTTTGGTATATCATCCCTGGTTTTTTACCTTTGGTGCTTGTCTTTGGAAACCTAATAATCCAACATCTCAGAACTCACACCGTGGGGGCCCTCTGGGCTCCAGAAGGGTTTCTTGTTTCGGACTTGCTTTGTGGAAGTATTGTGCAAGCTATGTTCTATGTGACCACGTGTTTGCTACCTGGGATGTGGGTGTCTGTAAGCAGGTCCTGTGGTGTCTGTCTCAGGGTCCTGTGTCTGTGTCCCCAATGTGATCAATGCAGCCCTCCTCCTGCCCAGTCCCGAGGGACAATGGCATGAGGGAAAAACCTACCTTCCAAGGAGGACAGTCCTCATGAGCACTAGCCAACATGGGTTGTCGCTGGGGGCCTGCCACTGCCCAGCACCTGCAGGTGCCGAACTCACAAGGTCAAAGTGGGAGGCGCTGGACTCTTCTGTTGGTTGGAGAAAGCAGAGATGGCCAAGTTCCCGGCAGCCGTGGCCAGGAGGGGCTCTCAGCAGAGAGGGTGTTTGGAAACAAAACTTGGGGAGTTGGGTTGTCGCGGTGACATGGAGAGGGTCAGGGATGACAAAAAACCCAGCAGTGGTAGGAATCCCAGAAACATCCCACTCAGAGTTCCAGTCGTGGCTCCACTGGGAAACACTATACCAAAGATTTTTCAAAATACTAACCCTCTTTTCAACTGGGGACAGACCAGTTTCCTCTCCTGCTATTTGAATAGAGCGCCCTCTTGTGTCTCTGTGTTCTCATATCATTGGGTACTTTAAAGGCCCCCTAAGACTTCATCCAAGGATTGGTGCATCTGGTCACAATGAGTTGCCTTCTTTCCTCTTGCTTCAAGAACCATCAGTGAGGGGTGCCAGGGTGGCTCAATCCATTAAGCATCCGACTCTTAATCTCAGTTCAGGTCTTGATCTCCAGGTTGTGAGTTTAACCCTGTGTTGGGCTCTGTGCTGGGTTCTGCACTGAGCATGAAGCCTACTTAAAAAGAAAAGAAAAGAAAATCTCCTTGCAAAAGAATTGTCTGTGAGGCCCTGAGGGGCTGCTGAGTGATAGCTGGTGTGCACAAAGAGGCCTGCTTCTTCCCTAAGAAGCAGCTGTCCCCAAACTGGAGGCCGGGTCCCAGAAGCGGCTCCCTGGTGCCCTTGTTCCCCTGGGAAGCCTGAGCCCCGGAAGGGAAGCCTGCCCCGATCCCAGTTAGTTCGCATCTCCAGCTGCGGACTGGAGTCTTTGTCACATGGTCTGCCTTCAGCTGAAACATGGTAGGTTACACCTGAGTCCCCCTCTCTTCCTACAGCCTGAGCATCATGCCCCCCTACCCCCACTGTCCCATCCAGGTTACCATTTAGTCCCACCTGCTCTGTTCCAGAATCTCCCTCTCTTTCCAGATCCATCCTCCCTGCCCCTCCCACTTACCTCTCTTCTGCTCAGACAAGCCCTCAAGTCTGCAGCTCTGTTTCCTCCTGTGTTAGAGGGAAAAAACAACATGCTCTGTGGATTGGCAGAGAGTCCTGTGCTGCGCCACCAACGGACCGTGGTTCGTGGCGCTGAGCATTCTGTCACTACTGTTCCCATCTCGTGTGTCTCCCTCCAGGATGATCTCCTGTTCTGAAGGCTGGGAGACATGTCCTCCTCACTCCCTCAGCTTGTCACATCCAGTGTGAGCACTTCAGGGTCATGTAATGTTACCCGTCAGATTCTCTCCTGCAGCCCAGCTGTCCCATCTGGGTCCTCACTGCACCTCCCATGCCCCACTTCTGGCGGCCCCTCTATATTCATGGTTCTCTCGGGGCAGGTGTCATGCCCCAGGAATGTTTGGAAATATGGTTGCCATATAACTGGGGGCACCTCCAGCATTTCATGGATGGAGCCAAGGAGGAGACCATTCATGCAACCAAGCACAAAACCACTCAAACTGCTGAGGATGCCCCCCCCCACCCAGAAACTGACTGAACCCTTCAAGCAGGCCCATCTGAGGTCACCACACTTTTGTCTTAGATCCCTGTCTTCCTTTTCCTTTTCCTTTTCCCCTTCTCCTCCCCCTCCTCCTCCCCCTCCTCCTCCTCCCTCTTCTCCTCCTCTACCCTCTCCTCCTTCTTGCTCTCCCCCTCCTCTTTCCTCTCTTCCTCCTCCTCCCCCAGACATTTACATTTCACTTCAGGACACATTCAACAAGGGGCTCTGTTCCTAAGAACTACTGAGACATCTAGAGTGACAGCCTGGGAGAGGAAGATGAAAAATAGCCAGTTATGCACTGGCTCTTACAGCTTCCACCCAGAAGCTTCTGTTCCTATTGCAATGGCCAGGGCAAGCCCCTCAGCCTCACCTGCCTTAATGAAAGTGAAGGAGTACAATCCTACCGGGCACATGGGGGAACCAGAGATACTTGGTAGACAGCACTGACTACTCCAGTGGCTTTAATATACATCTACTACTTGTTTTTACTCAACAGTGTTTTCGAGATGTATCCCTGTTGATTCACATAGATCTGATCCATAGCAATAAGTGGAAAAGCCAGACACAGAGAGTAGATACCATGAGCCCAACACTCATGAGTCTTTTTATCACTATTCAAGCTACTCAGTAGTCTGTCTCCCCACCCTTCTTCATGACCTCCAACCCAGAAATTGATCAATTAATCAATCCATCAAGGCGGGGCCATTTATTCAGTGTCTTGTGGGTACTCTGTGCCAGAAGATACCAAGAGTCAGGGGGATAAACCATGGTTCTGCCCTTAAGGTGCTTGGTGAATGGTGCAGGTAGCAGCGCGAGGGTAAGGTGTGCATTGCTAGTGTTGAGATGCTCACCGCAGACAGGGATCCCTGGATCCAGAGCAGCCAGGAGAGGCTTCCTGGACAGGGTGGGGCTAGGCCTGGAAAGGTGGGTGAGACTGGGACAGACCAAGAGAGAAGGTAGCTCGGTCAGTAGTCTGAAAGTGATGGTGACCCCACGTACCTGGTCAGTCAGACTGATTTCTTTAGCCCTGTAGTCTTCTCCCTTGTCGTGACTTATCTCCTTGGTTTCAAACCTTGTTACTGCAGCAGTGACACTAAATCTGGGTCTCCAGCTAGAGCCTCGTTCCTGGACTGTACACCCTTGCCTCTGATGCTTCCTGGGCCCCTTGATTTCAGCATGTACTGACCAAGCCAACAGAATCTTCTACATCCAGATCTCATATGATGTACCAGTTCATACTCAAAACCTTCATATCATCTTGGACACCTTTTCTCCTGATCCTCCCCACCTTCCAAATAGTCCCCAAATTCTGGTGTCCACACAGAGTGGTCCACGATTCAGCTATGATCTCTCTTCATTCCCTGTGCTGTGTCTCTGGCCTCGCTCTCTCTAGCCTCCCATGTTGGTGCCATTGAGTGCCTTTGATCATGGTTCTGCCTATTACACTTTGGCTTCAGGGCCTTCTGTGCCTGGAATTCATTCCAGGACCCCTCTTGACTTGGGCCCTAGGGCCTTGCTTTGTACACTTATGTATCAGTTCCTATTTTTTGCTGGTGCCCAGTGCTCGCCCTTCATTCCCCATCACTTCCATACCTGAACAAAGCCTTTTCCAGACAGCCTCTGGGAGCACCCATCAGGAATGAGCTGGCTCTCTCAGCCAGCACCTATGCATTTGGCTTGGTTGTCTTAGAAGGGCTCCTTTGTTAGGGAATGTTGTTTTCACACATACAAAGTTATATTGTTCATGGAGCGTAATGCTTATATTGTCCTTACTCAAGTTCACTTGTTGCAAGGAAAGCTGGAGCTTAGCCCCAAGGGCTGGTGTGGAAGAAGGAGAGACTGGAATCCATAAGAACTACCCGGCTGCTGAAATTAGTCATCCAAGTTTTGAGGATGGGGAGGTCGGTACTTAGGTCTGAAGGGAATGATGAGTTCAGACAGTAAGATCCAGGGGGGCCAGGCCCAGCTGAGGTGGGATATTCATAAAGGTGCCCATGGGAAGGAAGCAAAGGATTGATGTGTATGGACGGGAGGAGTGTTTAGAGGTTGCACAGTGCTGCTCCTTTGCCCTTAGGCATTTATCAGAACAAAACCCATCCCGGACCCTGCCAACTATAGGACTTAGCTACTGAGCTGAAAGACCGCCTGGGCTCCTGTTGGAGGGTGCTGGATCCCATCTCTTCCCACCTACCCCAACCTACCCAACACATCACTCCAGCCCTTGGTTCTCTCCTGGCCCTTTCAATTCAGCATATCCAAACTTAAAATTTCCCACCTTAAAATCACGCCTTTGACTGAAGGGTCTATATCACCAGATTTCTCTGCTTCTCTTTGAAGAAAAACTCCAGGAGTTGACTATACTTGCTCACCTACATGTCTTTCCTTCCATTCTCTCTCAGTCCATTCCCGTTGGGCCTTTGGGCTCATCACACCTCAGAACTGCTCCTGACATGATCAATAGTGCCCTCTACCCTGTGGAATTCTGTGGTCAGTTCTCACTTCTTCCCTGACCTCTC